TCTGAGGGAGGAGGGCTGAGTGCCTGGAGTCCTAGGTCCCTGACGCCTCTTGGTCCTACAGGACCATGGCAGCCGTGGGCTTTGAGGAGTTCTCAGCGCCGCCAGGCTCGGAGTTGGCGCTGCCACCGCTGTTTGGCGGCCACATCCTGGAGAGCGAGCTAGAAACCGAAGTGGAGTTTGTGTCCGGTGGTCTGGGCGGCTCGGGGCTCCGGGAGCGGGATGAAGAGGAAGAGGCAGCTCGGGGCCGGCGGCGGCGCCAGCGGGAACTAAATCGCAGGAAGTACCAGGCCCTGGGTCGGCGCTGCCGGGAGATCGAGCAGGTAGTTGAGTGCGGATTCCCCAGTTTTTGGATCCCTTGGCTTACATTACCACCTCTCAGTCTTCACCTCTCCACATGCCCAGCCTTCCTTCCAGCTTTCATTTACCCATTTATTCATTATTCGTTTACTCAGTGCAAGGCTCTTGGAGAGCTGTCTCCGCTAGGAGCTTCCCTGACAACCCAGATTGTGTCTCTGATGTCTCACAGTGCCCCTCATGCTCTCCACTGACCACAGGCTCAAAGGAGCTAAAGGATTTGCCCAAGTGGAGCTGGGATTTGAAGCCAGGCAGCCTGAACTTGTACTGAACCTGTACCCATTCTTTAACCACGATGCAGCCCCTCAGAACATGCAGGCACAAGCCCACCCTCCTGGGGTTCCTAGTGGAAAGTTCAGGGCAGCTTCTCCAAATCTTAGGTAGTCAGAGCCGGGAGACTCCTTAGCATCCAGTCTAATAAACTTCTCTTTATTCTAAGATTTGGCTCAAATGTCACTTCCTTCTTGCTTCTCAAATCTGTCCCCTCCTCTCCATCCCCTCAACTCCTACCCCAGCTCAGGCCTCCACCTCTTGAGTCATCTGACCTCTGGTCTCCCCTCTTCCAGGAGACCAGCTTCAGAGAGTCTTTCAAACACCCAGATGTGACCCTGTCCCTCTCCTGCTTGAAAGCTGTTGATGGTTCTTTCTTAATCTCAAAAAAAAAAAAAAAAAAAAAAAATCTACCCAGACTTATTGGACTGGTTGAGACTGGAGGTCTCCTTGAGACCATTGTTCTGAGATAGTCTTTAAACCTTGAACCGAAACTAGCCCCTGAAGTCATGTTTTAGCTAAATAACAGATTGGCTCACAAAATAAAGAATGTCACCCATGAGTACTGTGCTCCTTTAAAAAATCACCTATATGAGACAAAAGGGTCAACAGTTGTTGCTGTTAGGTGTCGTTGAGTCAGTCCCGACTCATAGCCATCCCATGTACAACAGAATGAAACACTGTCCAGTCCTGCGCCATCCTCACAATCGTTGCTATGTTTGAGCCCATTGTTGCGGCCGTTGTGTCAATTCATCTCATTGAGGGTCTTCCTCTTTTTCCTTTTTTCATTTACCAAGTATGATGTGCTTCTCCAGGGACTTGTCCCTCCTGATAACGTGTCCAAAGTATATGAGGTGAATTCTCACCATCCTCGCTTCTAAGGAGCATTCTGGCTGTACTTCTTCCAAGATAGATTTGTTCATTCTTCTGGAAGTCCATGGTATATTCACTATTCTTTGCCAACACTGTAATTCAAATGCATCCATTTTTTCTTTGATCTTCCTTATTCATTGTCCAGCATCACATGCATATGAGGTGATTAAAGATACCATGCCCTGAGTCAGGTGCTCCTTAGTCCTCAAAGTGACATCTTTGCTTTCTAACATTTTAAAGAGATCTTTTGCAGCAAATTTGCCCAGTGCAATATGTTGTTTGATTTTTAATTGTACTTTAGATGAAGGTTTACAGAACAAATGAGCTTCTCATTAAACAGTTAGTACACATATTGTTTTATGACATTGGTTAACAACACCATGACATGTCAACACTCTCCCTTCTCAACCTTGGGTTCCTCATTACCAGCTTTCCTGTCCCCTCCTGCCTTCTAGTCCTTGTCCCTGGGCTGTTGTGCCCCTTTAGTCTCGTTTTGTTTTATGGGCCTGTCTAATCTTTGGCTGAAGTGTAAACCTCAGGAGCGACTTCATTACTGAGATAAAAGAGTGTCTAGGGGCCATACTCTCAGGCTTTCTCTAGTCTCTGTCAGACCAGTGAGTCTGGTCTTTTTTTTTGTGGGTTAGAATTTTGTTCTGCGTTATTCTCCAGCTCTATCCGGGCACCTCTGTTGTGATCCCTGTCAGAGCGGTCGGTGGTAGCTGGGCACCATCTAGTTGTACGGGACTTCATCTGGTGGAGGCCGTGGTAGTTGTGATCCATTAGTCCTTTGGACTAATCTTTCCCTTTTGTCTTTAGTTTTCTTCATTCTCCCTTGCTCCCGAAGGGATGAGACTAGTGGAGTATCTTACATGGCTGCTAACAGGCTTTTAAGACCCCAGATGCTGCTCACCAAAGTAGAATATTTTCTTTATAAACTGTGTTATGCTAATTGAGCTAGATATTCCCCGAGACCATGGTCCCCACAGCCCTCAGCCCAATAATTCGGTCCCTTAGGGAGTTTGGATGTGTCTATGGAGCTTCTGTGACCTTGCCTTGTACAAGTTGTGCTGGCTTCCCCAGTATTGTGTACTGTCTTGCCCTTCACCAAAATTACAACTTATCTATTGTCTATTTGGTGTTTTTCCATTCCCACCCCTCCCCTCCCTCGTAACCATCAAAGATTTGTGTGTAAACCTTTTAATGAGTTTTTATAGTAGTGGTCTCATACAATATTTGTCCTTTTGTGATTGACTTATTTCACTCAGCATAATGCCCTCCAGATTCATCCATGTTGTGAGATGCTTTGCAGATTCATCATTGTTCTTTATTGTTGCAGAGTACTCCATTGTGTGTATGTATCATAGTTTGTTTATCCATTCATCTGTTGATGGGCAGCTACGTTGTTTCATTGTTTGATTTTTTGACTGTTGCTTCCATGGGCATTGATTGTGGATCCAAGTAAAATGAATCCTTGACAACTTCAGTCTTTTCTCCATTTATCATGATGTTGCTTATTGGTCCAGTTGTGAGGATTCTTGTTTTCTTTATGTTGAGGTATAATCCATACTGAAGCAAGGTTGTGTCATCTGCACATCAACAATTACATACTTTAATACAAAGATGAGAAGGTAAGAGGGCAGGGAAACTAGGTTAATGGAAACAGAACAATCAGAATGGAAATATTGAGAATGTTCACACATTGTGAAGAATGTAACCAGTGTTACTAAACAATGTGTAGAAATTGTTGAATGGGAACCTAAACTGCTGTGTAAACCTTCACAGAAAACACAATAAAATATTATTAAAGAAAAAAAATTTAAACTTCTTGACCTGGGGTTCCTGGCCTTCCAGGATCTGGGTCCTGCTTACCATTCCATCCTTATCCTCACCAAAGCAGTTAACGCAATGATTCAGGCAAGAGAATATGGTAGTGTGGTGATGGTTGCACAACATGGTGAAGGTAATTAATGTCACTGAGTCATACACTTACAAATGGTTAAAGTGGCAAATGTTATCTATTTTACCACAATAATATTAAAAGAAAGAAAGAATACGAATCTGAGGCAGGGGCCATGGGGATGGAGGGCAGGAGTGGACCCAAAACCTAAGGGAGATTCAAGAGGCAGAAGGCACAGGAAGTGAGGGGTTGCTGGGTGTCAGGGTGTGGGAGATTTGAAGGGCTTGGGCTTTGAGCCTGTGGTCAATGGAGAGAATGAGAGGCATGTGTGAGACATCAGAGACACAATCTGGGTTGTCAGGGAAGCTCCTACAGGAGACAGTGTTCCAAGAGCCTTGCATGGTGCCTGACACATAAGAGGTGTTGAGGAAATGATAATGAACGAATGGGTAAATGAAGGATTTATTCAGCTAGGCTAGGAAGGATGGGCATGTGGACAGGTGGAGATTAAATGAGTGGGTGGGTGAGTAGAATGGCATTGACTGTGTTTCTTCCACCTCCTCACAGGTGAACGAGCGTGTCTTGAACAGACTCCATCAGGTACAGAGGATAACACGGAGACTTCAGCAGGAACGGAGGTAAGCCCTTCCGCACCCGCTTGGGCCCCTGTACCTCTGCCCCTAAAGTGGTCCACCATTATTTGCCATCTCTCTGCCATTTTCCCCATCCGCCTGGCCTCACAGGCCTCAAGGAAGAGAGGATGGAGCTGAGTGCTGACTGCTGAGGTTGACTAGGGGAAGGCCGGGTGGAGTGGGCATGCTCTCTCTGAATGGAGAGCACAGCAGAATGGGAGGAGCACAAGCATTAGAGTCTCAGACCTGGTTGCAAGTACTTTTTTGCTGTGTGACTCTGAGCAAGCGATAGCCTCTCTCCGAGCCCTTTTCCTGTCAGTTAAGGGGGTGTTAAGGAGCTGTGGTGGCACAAATGGTTAAGCACTCAGCTGCTAACCGAAAGGTTGGCAGTTTGAACCCACCTGGTGGCTCTGCGGGAGAAAGACCTGGCAGTCTGCTCCCATAAAGATAACAGCCTAGGAAACCCTATGGGGCAGTTCCACTCTGTCACATGGGGTCACTATGAGTTGAAATCGACAGGATGGCACATAACAACAAGGATGTGTTAGTTTCCTGGGGCTGCAGTAACAAAACACCACGAAGAGGGTGGCTTTAAACAACGTAAGTTTATTCTTTCATGGTTCTGGAGGCTAGAAGTCCACATCAAGGTATCAGCAGTGTTGTTGGTTCCTTCTGAGGACTCTAAGGGAAAATCTGTTGCATGCCTCTGTCCTCGCTTCTGGTGGCTGCTAGTAACCCTTGGTGTTCCTTTGCTGCTTGTAGATACATCTGCTTCTGTTGTCACACAGTGTCTGTCTTCCCCGTGTGTCTCTGTTTTCATGTCTGTTCTCCCCTTAGATAAGACACGACTCAGAAGGGATTAGGACCTTACACTGAAATTATCCCTTGATGTCACCTTTTAGCAAAATAAAAAAAGTAAAGACTATCACCTGTGAGTGATGAGCTTTTTTAAAAAACCATCTGTAGGAGACCAAATGGTCAAAAATTACTCTGAAGCAAAGATGAGACGGTAAGGGGTCAGGGAAACTAGAATACTGGCAACAGTATAGCCAGAACAGAATGAGAATGATGACACGTTGTGAAACATGTAACCAGTATCACTGAATAATTTGTGTAGAAATTGTTAAATGGGAACCTAATTTGCTGTGTAAACTTTCACCTTAAACACAATAAAATGTTAAAAAAAAAAGAGAAGGGATTAGGATTAGAACCTACACTACTCCTGTATAGCCTTGTTTAATTTAACTGATAACAAAAGAAAAACTCTATTTTCAAACAAGGTCACACTCAGAGGTACAAGAGTTAGGACTTCAACATATCTTTTTGGGGGACACAAGTCAACCCATAACAGGCCATCAGCTCTTGCCTGGATTACTGCCAAGTGTTCCTAACTGGTCTCCTGGCTCCTCCCTTACCATCTCCCCCAAGTCTCTTCTTTCAGCAGCCTGAGTAAACCCTTTTTTTCCATTTATACCATTATATAAAAACAAACAAACAAAAAACCTCTATAAACCCACTGCCATCGAATCAATTCCAATTCATAGTGACTGTATAGGAAAGGGTAGAACTGCCCTATAGGGTTTCCAAGGCTGTAATCTTACAGAAGCAGACTGCCACATCTTTCTCCCACAGAGCAGCTGGTGGGTTCGAACCACCGATCTTTCACTTAGCAGCCAAGCGCTTTAACCACTGTGCCACCAGGGCTCCTTAATTTGTACCATTAGCCAATATTTTATTTTGCAGTAGTTTATGGCTAAAATATCAAAAAGTTGGGTAAGTATCTGCACATACTAAACTTCTCTTCCTAGTTTTCATATGGGTCAGTCAAGGTAATAATTCTTTCTGAACGTTCTATTTGGATCCTGGCCCGTTGGTTCTCAAAGTGTAGTGTCAGCCAGTTGCCGTTGAGTTGATTCTGACTCATGGTGACTCCATGCATGTCAGAGTAGAACTGCCCTCCGTGGGGTTTTTCTTTTTAAGGATTTTATTTATTTTGTTGTTGAGAATATATAAGCCAAGTATACAACAATTCAACAGTTTCTACATATACAATTCAGTGACATTGATTACATTCTTCCAGTTGTGCAACCATTTTCACCCTTCTTTTCTGAGATGTTCCTCCTCCATTAACATAAACTCACTGTCCCCTAAGGTTCATATCTAATCTTTGAGTTGCTGTTGTCAATCTGACCCCAAATAGATAGATCTTAAAAGAGAACAATGCTTAAGGCAGACATTCTTTACTAATTAAGCTAAATTATTGTTTGGCTTAAAGAAGACTTCAGGGGATATTTTTGGTTTAAGGTTTAAAGATTATCTCAGGGCAGTAGTTTCAGGGGTCCATAGTGTTTTCAGCGGCTGATTTTTCGAAAGTAGATCACCAGGCCTTTCTTCTGAGGTGCCTGGGAAATGGTCACAAATGCAAGGACTCATGCACCACCCCAGACCAACTGCTTCAGAAACTGAGGTGGTAGCCGAGTGGTCCTTTTAAATGTAAGATATGCCAACTCACTACTCCACTGCTCAAGGCCCTGCAGTGGCTCCCACTGGACCCAGCTTCTTTTCAACAGTTGACAAGACCCTAAGTCACATGGTCTGTTACACTGGTGTGAAAATGGTGTAGGGGTGGAGTCTGACCTCCTCTAACTTCACAAGGGGGAAGGAGAATCAAGATCAATAGCCCAAGGCTGATTCCCATTAGACAGAGGTCAGACCTGCCTCCTCTCTCCACCATCTTATTCTGACACCAACTGTCCCTCCCACGCCACTCTCTACTTCTCTGCTGAGTTCAGTAATTCATTGCAATGGCCACACAGAACTCACAGATGATACTCACGATTATGGGGTTTATTAGGGAAGTAACAGGTTACAGTTCAGGTTCAGGAATGCTCAGGATACAGTTCTTCCATCAGGACAGCTTCTTCCCAGCTGTGCTTACAGGCACACCTCTTTCTGGCTCTTGGCTTCTTCCCTGCTCAGGCACGTGTTACAAAGTTCTTTTAGCTCTGCTAGTAAGCGCCCAGAGGCACCCTACTCCACCAGTAAGCCTCGACCCAAAGGCACTGAGCTTTCTCAGTCCATGGGCCAGGAATCCCACTGTGCTGTCTCTTGCTGGTCTCTCCTACCGCCATCTCTCTGCCGCTGTCTTCAGTGTTACAGCTGTCTCTATTGGTCTCCTGGTTCCAGGAGCTTCTCAGTGCAGGGACCTGTTCTTGGTTGTCCTTCCTTGGTAGTGGTATGGTCCTCTTTCCCACCTCTGGGATGGCTCATTTCAAGCCCAGTGGGATGGTAAAACTGACCAATCCCCTTGGTGGGCCACAATTAACCTTATTTGCAATCACACCCAAGTGAGTTACAAAACTATGGTGCGAAAGGCCACACGAAAGCGTTCTATTGCACCACAACTGGCCGCCTTGTTCTACCTATAACACACCAGCCATGCTCCCACCCCAGGGCCTTTGCACATCTATTCCTTCTGCCAGAAATGTTCTTCCATCACTCCTTCACCTTCTTCAGTGAGATGAAGCCTTACCTGCTATCTTAGTTATCTAGTGTGCAATAACAAATACCACAAGTGGATGGCTTTAACAAAGAGAAATTGATTCACAGTCTAGGAGGCTAGAAGTCCAAATTCAGGGGTCCAGGGGAAGGCTTTCTGTGTCAGTTCTGGGGCAAGGTCCTCGTCATCAATCTTCCCCTGGTCTAGGAACTTCTCAGCACAGGGACCCTGGGTCCAAAGGATGCACTCCACTCCTGGTGCTTCTTTCGTGGTGGTATGAGGTCCTTCTCTCTGCTCGATTCTCTCTTTTGTATCTCAAAAGAGATTGACTCAAGATACAACCTAATCCTGTAGTTGAGTCCTGCCTTATTAACAGAACTGCCTCTGATCCTGTCTCATTCACATCATAGATGTTAGGATTTATAACACATATGATAATCACATCAGATCACAAAATGGTGGACAACCACACAATACTGGGAATCATGACCTAGCCAAGTCGACACACATTTTTGGGGGACACAATTCAATCCATAACACCTGCTCAGGAAGGCTTCCCCTCATTGTCCTTTTTAAGTTACAGTCCTTAGTCCAGGTATAATCCACCCTCCTTCCTTCTCTCTGACCTAGTGTATTTAGCTGATTTTTTTATTGCTGCAAGAACCTGAGTTCCATAAGCACAGGGATCTTTGTTTTGTTCCCTGATGTATCATGCCATCTTTAGTGTTACAGCTCTCTCTCCAGGTCTAGGAGGTTCTCAGTACAGGGACCCCAGGTCCAAAGAACACTCTGTACTCCAGGTTCTTCTTGATGGTGGTGAGGTCCTCCCTAACCTCTGTGGGATTAGCCCTTATATTCAATTTCAAGGCATGGCCCTCCTAGCCAGACCACCAACTGACCAATCCCTTCAGTAGACCACAATCACTCAATCTGCATACTAATTGAACAATTCTCTCAAGGTCACTTAGTCTTATTGTATGGTTTTACACACTCCATTTGTATAGTAAACTAACTAATCCCTTTGCAAGATCATGGCCTAGCCAATCATTTTGGCAGAATTATAAACCCAATGCCAGAAAGGCCATATATAAGAGAAACCCACTGCACTGCACCTAGCACCTGGACTTGTGCTTGGTCAGAAGTAGGAACTCAGTAAGAGTTGTTGGATAAGAGATCCTGTGTGTAAAACGTTCTACCCGGGCCCTGGCATGCAGGAAGCAGTCAATCAATTAGCACTTGTTAGGTGCCATCAAGGCGATTTCTAACTCATAGCGACTCCATGTGACTACCCCATAGGGTTTTCTAGGCTGTAATCTTTATGGGAACAGAGCACCAGGACTTTGTCCCGTGGAGCTGCTGGGTGGGTTCGAACCACCAACCTTTCAGTTAGCAGCCCAGCACTTAAGCTTTCCTCCACCAAAACAAATCAAAACCCATTGCTGTTGATTCTGACTCATAGTAACCCTAACGGACAGTAGAAATGCCCCATAGGGTTTCCTACACTGTAATCTTTACAGAAGCAGATTGCCACATTTTTCTCCTATGGAGCAGCTGGTGGGTTCAAACTGCAGACCTTTTGTTTAGCAGCCGAGCACTTAACCACTGCACCGCTGTGCGATTAGCGCTTAAAAGAAAGAAAAAAACTTTAGAAGCAGGGAGGGGAGAAAGAAGAGAAGGCACTAGTGGGAAATTTTCTGCACCCACCCAACCCCTTACCTACCTACCCCTTCACTCTTTCTTTTCCGTTATTGGAAATAATAACTCTCACGTTTGAACGCTCAGAGTGCTAGGTTTCACATTAAGTGCTTTCTAGATATCATCTCATGTCATTGTCACTATCACAGCAGTTCAGCTGAGTCCAGACTGTCTTTTCCTATTGACAGAGCAGAAAACCAAGGCTCAGATTGTCTTGCCCAGGGCTCACTTGCTGGTCAGGTGCTTGGAACCCAGGTCTGCCAGCTTGCAGAGCTCTTAACTTTCTGAGTCAAGGACAACTTTGGCTTCAAAGGGAATCAGCACCGGGCTCTGCTGTCTGCCCCTTTTACTCAACTGCTAAACAAGAACGTTACTTGTTTTAGTTATCTAGCACTGCTATTTAACAGAAATGCCACAAATGGGTGGCTTTAACAAACAGAAATTTATTTTCTCACAGTGTAGGACACTACAAGTGTGAATTCAGGGTGCTGGCTCTAGTGGAAGGCTTTCTCTGTTGGCTCTGGGGGAAGGTCCTTGGCTCCGTGGTGATCTTCATGTGTTGTGGTATCTGTCTTCCCCCATCTCTGCTTGTTTCTCTATGCCTAATCTGCTTTTTTTATATTTCAAAGGTGATTGGCTTAAAACACACCTACATTGATATGGTCTCAACTTAACAAAGAAAACCTATTCCACAGATATAGAGGTCAGGAGTTACATACAACACATACTTTTGGGGGTACAGTTCAATCCATTAACATGACACCACTGGCGCTTCTCTCCCGTGCAGGTTCCTCATGCGAGTGCTGGACTCCTATGGGGATGACTACCGGGCCAGCCAGTTCACCATCATGCTAGAGGTGAGGGCGCCTCTTCTGAGTGGGCTGGGGGAACTGTGAGCAGCCAGGACCCCATTTCCACCTGCTTTCCCTTCTCCCCACCAGGACGAGGGCAGCCAGGGCACTGATGCCCCCACCCCGGGCAATGCTGAAAACGAGCCTCCAGAGAAAGAGGGACTGTCCCCACCCAGAAGGACCCCGGCACCCCCTGAGCCCAGCAGCCCGGCTGCTGGGGAGGGGCCCAGTGGACGGAAGAGGCGGCGTGCACCCCGGGATGGACGCCGGGGAGCAGGAACTGCATTGACCCCAGAGCTGGCTCCGGTGCAGGTGGGTTGGTGGGGTGGGGGGTGGAGCCAAGGTGGGACCAAGAGAGGTGCAGGTCCAGGGCTGGGGAGAGCAGAATGTTGGGGCTTGGGGGGAAGCAGGGCAGACTGGAGGAGGTCTCGGGCCAGGCAGATGAAGAGTTGGAAAAAGCCAGGCAGGGGGTTGTGTAGAAAAGGAGGCAAAGCTGGAGAGAAGGAAGAAGACCTGGAGAAGGTTAGGAGTGGAGGATGAAGAAGGAGCAAAGAAAATTGGGCAGGAAGAGAAAGGGGTGGGGATGGGGGAAGGTGAAGCAAGTTTGGACCCAGGGATACTGGAGTTGCCTCTGAAGTCCTGGTGGCAAACTTGTCTGGGCTGGAAAAGCAAGACCTGGAGGCTGGTGGGCACTCACTGGACTCCAGGCCCACTCACACCCTGTTCCTCACCTCCCCAGATTAAGGTTGAGGAAGACTTTGGCTTCGAAGCGGATGAGGCCCTGGATTCGAGTTGGGTGTCTCGCGGGCCAGACAAACTGCTGCCCTACCCTACCCTGGCCAGCCCTCCCTTCGACTGACCCACCCCCCAATAAACTGACCCCCATGCTTGTGTGGCCACTGTCTGCTGCTCTGCCCCTGATCTGACACACACACACAGAGTCTGGGGCTGGTTTTCAGGTTTTTATTGGGGGCTGCAGGGGAGCCATTGTGGAGGTGCTCACAGTTTCTTCAGCCACTCCAAGCTGGGGCCCTGGGGGTCCTGGGGGTGGCTGGGCACATCAGGCATGTTCCCGTCATCTCGGAGGGGCACTGTGGGACAGGAGGGTGGGCCGTTAAGACCAGCACAGCTCCAGTGCTGGCCTGTCATCTTATATTCAGAGGGGGAAACGGAACCCCGAGGGCAAGAAAGAGGACGGTGGAGGGGACAAAGAATCAGAGATGCAGAGAGCAGCCAGGAGATAGAGACCTAGAGATATGGAAAACCAGCGAGGGGACAGAGACCTAGAAAGATGGAGATCCAGAAAGATAAAAATACAGATAGCAGGAGATGGAAACCCAGAAAGAGATACGTTGTTGGGTGCCAGTGAGTCAGCTCCGACTCAGCAATAGCATGTGACAGAGTAGAACTGCCCCATAGGGTTTTCTTGGCTGTAATCTTTACAGGAGCAGATCACCAGGTCTTTCTCCTGTGGAGCCACCAGGTGGGTTTGAACTGCTGACCTTTCAGTTAGCAGCCTACCACTTAACCTTTGTGTGGCTGTGGCTCCTTCAGAGAGGAATAGAAATCCAGAAAGACAACAGAAACTCCAAGTACAAAAACAGAGAGGATTAATTTTATGGTCTATGAATTATATCTCAATTTAAAAAAAAAAAAAAAAGATCCCTGTTCAGGAAAGAAAACCAAAACCCAAACCCATTACCAATGAGTTCATACCTACTCATAGCATATAAGACAAACTAGAACTGCCCCATGGGGATGCTGAGGAAAGACCCACCCTTAATTATCCCTCCCCCACTCACCTGGGTAGCTGTAGGGGGTGGCCTTGTTGATCATGCTGGCATACTTGGTGTAGGGGCTGAATGCGGGCAGAATTATAGCTGTGAAGAGACACAGGGTGAGGTCCAGGGGAAGGTGGCACTGGGGAGGAGAGGGAAGGGGCATAGAGGCAGAAACTGAATTTTGGCAAAGGAAGGGGGATTGAGTGCGTGGGGATTGGGGGCCAGGGAGGTCCAGCACCTTTCCTCTGTGGGGTACTTTGGGGGTCCCCATTCATGGGCAGGGGGTTTACAAGTCTTTTTAAGGGGTTGGGGTGGAAGCCAAGCACTCACAGATACATCAGCCCTAAAGGGTGGAGCAAAGGGAGGAAATGGGTGCTCATGGAATGAGTGTGTTTGAGTGTAGGGGTATTCATGGAGCATCTTGGAAGGGAGGTGTCTTGGGAATGTTCTGGAGGAATGATGAACTGTTACTAACTTGGGGTAGGGGGAGGGACAAGGAACAATCACTGAGGAGGTATAGACTATCTGTGGGAGCTGGATTCCTGGGGGGTGGGGTGTATAACAGGAATGTTCTAGGCCAGTGCTGTCCGACAGAAAGACGACGTGAGCCACATAAGTAATTTTACATTTCCGAGTAAGTCATATTACCCCATGTAACAGAGTAGAATTGCCACGTAGGGTTTCCTAGGCTGTAATCTTTACAGGAGCAGGTCGCCAGGTCCTTCTCCTGAGAAGCAGCTGGGTTTGAACCACCAACCTTTCAGTCAGCAGCTGTGCACTCAACCATTGAGCCACCAGGGCTCCTGGTCACACTAAGGCTTCAAAATTCAGTGTGTACTTCACATGCAGCCCATCTCAATTTATACCAGTCCCATTTCAAATGTTCAATGGCCACATGTGGCTCCTGGGTGCCCTACTGATTGGACAACCCAGCTCCAGAACCTTACCCAGTGTGTGGTCTCTGTGGTCTTTGAAGCACAGTATTGCCAACATGAGGGAGCCCTAGAAGCGCAGTGGTTAAGTGCTCCCCTGCTAACTGAAAGGTCAGTGGTTCGAACCCACTAGCCATTCTGCAGGAGCAAGATGTAGCTAGTTTTCATAAAGATTATAGCCCTGGAAACCCTCTGTCACAAGGGGTCAATATGAGTTGGAATCCACAGCAACTGGGTTTGATTTTTATTGGCTTATTGCCAATGCCTGGGAACTCAGAAATGCAGAACCCTAGGCTCCACTCCGGGCCTACGGAATCAGAACCTGCATTTTAACAAGGCCCCCTCCCCCACCTTCCAGTGATTCCAATGCATGCTAACGTCTGAGCAACCTTGTTATAGAGCAAAGGTCCTCAATCAGGGTGGCATATTAGAATGGCTGGGGTGTTTTCACAAAATACAGGTTCCCCAGCTCCACTTCCACCCAACCAACTCAATGCAGGATGTAGAAGTGGGAGGCAGGGGGTTCCAGGGCAATTCTACTCCGTCCTACAAGGTCGCTATGAGTCGAAATAGACTCCACGGCAATGGGTTTGGTGTGTCTTTAATGCACAGCAGGGGTAAGAACCTCTCCTTTAAATGGATAACGGACCTCTTGGGTGAGTATGGTGGATCCACCTGGGGAGGGCAGTGAGGGGATTATGCGATATTCTTGAGGGAAATGTAGTTCCTGGGAGTAGAGGAGTTGTAATATTGGGGATGAGGGTCGTCAATGGAAAGTCGTTGGGTGTTGGCACACTGGTGAGGGCATAGAATGTTGAGGGCAGCGATGGGGCCTCAGGGATAAAGATGGAACACTAGTAGGGGGCGATGGGATGTTAGTGGGGGGGGGGATATGATCTTGGGGGTAAAGATGGGAAGCTGGTGGTGGGCGATGGGGTCTTGAGGGGTAAAGACGGAACGCTAGTCGGGGGTGATACACGCTCGCGCCTGGGGCACTCACGCACCGAGGCCACCGATGGTGAAGGACGCGACCAACACCGGCTCCTTGCCCCAGGCATTCTTGAGGAAGGATGCGAGTCCTGCAAGGGTGGGCGAAGAGGGTCACCCCCTAAAGGGGCTGCCCGCAGTGACCTCTAACCCTCTTGTGCCACCCCCGCCCAAGGAGCCCCTTCGTAACCTCCCCTTCGTGACCTGAGCGTCCCCCTGCGGCACCGACCCCACTGTCTCAGGGTGCTCCGACACGCCTTCTCCTGGGCTCCGCCCTGGGTGGGTAGGGGTCCTGGAATTACCCGACTCCCACACTCCAGGTACACCCCCACTTACTAGTCGCCATCTTGGTCTCGGCGGGGGCGGGCAGGACGCGCGCAGAGCACTCTGGGAATTGTGGTCCCGGACCGCTGGAGTCCGCGCGTGCGCCCTGGGGCAGAACAGAATTTCCCTGGTGGCGTAGTTGTTAAGTGCTGCCGCTGCTGACCGAAAGAGCAGCAGTTGGAATCCACCAGGCTCTGCTTGGAAACTCTGTGGTGCAGTTCTGCTCTGTCCGGTAGGGTCGCTATGAGTCCGAATCAACTCGATGGCAACGGGTTTTCTTTTGGGAGCGGCAGGAGGAGGGAGAACGCTCCAGGTTTAAGAGCAGCCGGTGTTTGCATAGCTGCCGTGTCTGCTGGGAGATCGCATCTTTAGGCTCTTCTTTCTCTCTCAGCCTTGAAGTCTCTTCCGAGTAGTAACTTCCAGTCCTCCCGTTGCAGCCTATCTGAGGCAAAATCCTGGAGTCCTCAGTTGACAGGTTACTTATGATAGCTCATTTTGCAGATGGAAAGACGGAGGTTCTGAGCGGTCGAATGAATGGCCTATTTATTATTTAGGTCTCAGCGCTAAATAATCTTGTCAGAGAAGGTGCTAGCTCTCACCCCAGACGGGTTAGGGGCCGTCTGTGGGCTTTCACGTTGCCTTGTGCCCCCCCCCCCATTAAAGCTCAGATCACACCATGTATATATAAAATTATATATATATATATCTTACATATATATATAAAATTTTGGTAACAGTATAAACAACCAAACACAGCTATTCACAATTTCTACATGAACAGTGCAGTGACATCACTTACATCACATTGTGTCACCATTCTCACTATCTCTGCCTACATTGTTTCATCACCATTAATTTAGACTCTGCCCATTAAAGTTCTCACCTTTGCTTTAGAGGAACTGTTGTCAGATTAAGCTCATATAGATAATTCTTTGTAAGAGCACTATGCTCAAAATATACTTATTCCATATGTATGCTGAGCAAATAATCAAAGAGCTGGATTATATGAAGAACGTGGCATCAGGATTGGTGGAAGACTCATTAACAGTCTGTGATATGCAGATGACACAACCTTGCTTGCTGAAAGTGAAGATGCACACATACAAGCACTTACTGATGAAGATCAAAGACTACAGCCTTTGGTATGGATTACACCTCATCATAAAGAACACAAAAATCCTCATGAACTGGACCAATAAGCAACATCATGATAAACCAAGAAAAGATTGAAGTTGTCAAGGATTTCATTTTACTTGGATCCACAATCAACACTCACGGAAGCAGCAGTCAAGAAATCAAAAGATGCATTGCACTGGGCAAATCTGCTGCAAAAGACCTCTTTAAAGTGTTAAAAAGCAAAGATGTCGCTTTGAGGACTAAGGTGCGCCTGACCCAAGCCCTGGTATTTTCAGTCACCTCATGTGCACGTGAAAGCTGGACAATGAATAAGGAAGACTGAGGAAAGATTGACGCCTTTGAATTATGGTGTTGGCGGAGAATATTGAATATACCATGAACTGCCAGAAGAACAAACAAATCTGTCTTGGAAGAAGTACAGCCAGAATGCCTCTTAGAGGCAAACATGGCGAGACTTCATCTCACATACTTTGGGCATGTTATCAGGAGGGACCATGTTATCAGGAGAGAAACAAAATCAGTGATGTGTATATATATACATATATATATAGAGAGAGAGTTATACTAAGGAAATGGCTCATGTGGTTGTAGAGGCTGGAAAGTCCCAAGTCCATGGATCAGGCTAGAGGCTTCTCCTGACTCATGTAGTTGCAGGGCTGATGAACCCAAGATCAGCAGGTCAGATGGCAGGCCTTTGGCTCACAGGCTTCAGAGGCTGACGGATCCCAAGATCATCAGGTAAAACGGCAGGCCACTGGCTCACAGGGTTCGGAGGCTGATGAATCCCAAGATTGGCAGGTAAGCTGCTAGCTCAAGTCCCAAGAACCAGAGGTCAGATGACAAGCCAGATGCGGGATCCAGAGTGAGTAAAAGCCAGTGAGCTTTGCCAGAAAGTCTACATATATTGGATGGAGGCCACACCCCCAAGGAAACCCCCTTTCAACTGATTGGCTGCTCATAGCAGATCTCATCATGGAGGTAATTACATATATCAGATCTCATTATGGAGGTGCAATCTCATCATTACATAGCTGCCAAACTACATCGTAATTGCCAAACCACTGAGAATCATGGCCCAGCAAAGTTGACACACAACCTTAACCATCACAGTCCACCCCTTGTCAACTTGGCACCCATACACATCTCCCTAAACCATACACAACCTCTAAATAAAGACAATAATAAAGTCATATATGCACCTAATATGATACAACAAACAAGTGTACAACCAAAAACGCACTAGCCCTGTTTACGTCTTATATTTAATAAGTGAAGAAAACAAAAATGTTTGATGCACACATACAAGGAAGAAATACTCATAACAATTACAGTCCTTGTTTCTACAACTGGTCACGTGGTCGTAGCTGGTATTTAAAACTATCTTCTTCCACAAACAGTCTCTTCAAGGCAAGCTAGGTTTTTAACTTACCATTGCCATTGAGTCGATTCTGACTCATAGTGACACTATAGGACAGAGGAGAACTGCCCCACAGAGTTTTCAAGGAGTGGCTGGTGGATTCGAACTGCTGACTTTTTGGTTAGCAGCCTGAGCTCTTAACCACTGTACCACCTTAAAACACTTCCAGCCTCTACCCAGTCAGTTTCAAAACAGCTTCCTACATTTTAGGTATCTATTAGAGCAGCACCCCACTCTGGGTACCAAGTTTTGTCTTAGTTATCTAGTGCTGCTATAACAGAAATGCCACAAGTAGATGGCTTTAACAGACAGGAATTTATTGTCTCACAGTTTAGGGGACTAGAGGTCTGAATTCAGGGCACCAGCTCCAGGAGAAGGCTTTTCCTCCTGCTGGTTCTGGGGAAGTTCCCTGTCATCAATCTTTCCCTGGTATAGAAGCTTCTCAGCACAGGCACCTCATACCACTAAGAAAGAAGAGCCGGGAGCAAAGCATGTCCTTTGGACCTGGGGTCCCTGCACTGAGAAGCTCCTAGACCAGGGGAGGATTGATGACAAGGAACTTGCCCCAGAACCAACAGAAAGAGAAAGCCTTCCCCTGGAGTGGCAACCTGAATTTGGACTTCTAGCCTCCTAGACTGTGAGAGAATAAATTTCTGTTTGTTAAAGCTATCCATTTGTGGCATTGCTGTTATAGGAGCACTAGATAACTAAGACACTGGAGAAGGACATCATGCTTGGTAAAGTAGAGGGTCAGTGAAAAAGAGGAAGACCCTCAATGAGATATATTGACACAGTGGCTGAAACAATGGGCTCAAACACAGCAACAATTGTGAGAATGGTGCAGGACCAGACAGTGTTTCATGCTGTTGTAAATAGGGTTGCTATGAGTCGGAAGCGACTCAACGGCACCTAACAATGACAACAACATGCTTGAGGCAAAAATTCTTTATTAATTGGGCTAAACTATTGTTTAGTTTAGCAATGGCTTTATGGGATAGTTTTGGTTCAAGGTTTAAAGATTATTTCCCGGCGTTAGATTTGGGGGCTCCCCCAGTCTCAATGGATCCAGTAAGTTGGGTTTCCACATGAGTTTGAAATTCTTTCACACTTTTCCCCCTTTTGATCAGTATCCACCTGTTGGGTCCATGATCAAAACATTCAGCAATTGTAGCCAGGCACCATCCAGATTACACCTTTTTGAACTAACTTGTTCACAGTCTGTCTTTCCATCAGACTGGGAGCTGCTTGAGACCACAAACGGGGTCTGATTCCTCTCTGTGCCACCAGCATCACACAGCACAGGGTCTGGGAAGGAATGAGTGCTGTATTTAGGAAAAAAAAAGTTGCATTAACGCATACAGCTAGTTAGGAATGCCCTCTCTCTCAGCACCATGGGACGATGACACAGCCACCCAGGGGCTCCAGCTCCCTCCACCCTTCTCTTTACAGGGCTTTGCTTCTGGTTTTCTGGTGTTGCCTCATTTCCTTGAAGGAGGGAGGATACGGCTGAGCCCTGGCTCCAGCTCATGTCCAGATCTGCTCACCATGGCCCTGGTACTGCTCCTCCTGCTGCTGACCCTCTGTGAGCTCCCCTTCTTCTCCCTGGGTCCCAGGCTGGGCTGGGGGGCAGGGAGACAGGCTGTGAGGACCCAACACCCCAAGGGAGGAGGGGGCAAGGGACTGGACTACTGAGTCTCCCAAAGGGTGGATGCAGGGTAGCCAGGCAGCACTAGCTGGGGGCCTGGAAATTCTAGGCCAGAAAGAGGGGACAGACCTGGGGCCCAGACCCCTAAGTTCTAAAACAGGAGGAGTTGGACATCTGGAATTTCTGGGTCCCTGGAAGAGGAGGGGGTGGGAGCAGAATTCTCTGGATCTTGAGGCAGGGCTAGGGATCTGGACTCCTGGGTTTGAGGGAGGAGGGGACTGGGGACCCAGATTTCTGGGTCTGAGAGAGGAGGGGGCTGGGGGTCTGGACTCCTAGGTCTGAGGAAGGAGAGCCTGGGGGCTGGGACTCCTGACTCAGAGAGAGGAGGGGGCTGGGGGCCCAGACTCCTGGGTCTGAGGGAGGAGGGGGCTGAGAGTCTAAACTCCTGAGTCCTAGAGGAGTAGAGGGCAGAGGTCCTGGACTCCCAGATCACTGAGGGAGAGAGACGTGGGGTCTTATAGTCCCAAGCACCTAGGATGGAAATAGGTTGGGGGCCTAGGCTCCTGGGTCCCTGGGAGAAGAGGGGGCTATAGGCAGGGCTTCTTGCATCCTGAGGGAGGAGAGGGCTGGTGGCCCAGACTCCTGAACCCCAGGGATGAGAAACTGAGCTCCGCGTACTGGAAAAGGTGGGGCCCCAGGGCCTGAACTCTTGGATGTAGATGCAACAGGGGGCTGGGCCCAGACTTCTAGCCTCTTAACTTGGTGGGGAATGGGATTCCTGGCTACTAAGAGAAGAGGAAGTAGAGGCAGGATTCTTCTTTCCCAAAGGAAAGAAGGGCTGGGGACTCAGATTCCTGGGCTCCCGATGAGGTATGGCTGAGAGCAGCCTACAGCTTTGACAATGCCGAGCACTCTCCAAGGAGCCCCGGTGGCTCAAGGGTTAAGCACTCGACTGCTATCTGAAAGGAGAAAGATCTGGCTATCTGCTTCCATAAAGATTGCAGCCAAGACAACCCTACTCTGTCACATGGGGTTGCCATGAGTCGGAATTGACTCAACAGCATCTAACAACAGCAGCTCTACCTTCCGCAGGGCCTGAGTGTCACACAGATATCACTTCACATGGTGAGTAACATCCCCCACCCATCCCCCTTGACACTGCATTTCCAACTACTCAGGTTTATTTTGGTTCTCAGCCCACTCCAGACTTCCTTCTTTCCTGCTTTTCTTCCTTCTCTCCTTCCTCCCTTTCTCTGTCCCTCCTTTTCTTCTTTCCTTGATCCCTTTAGTGACCATTATGACATTCTGGTCAAGACGATGAACTTTGTTGCTAAACAGACCTAAGCTGGAATCTGGGTCCCTATAAGAAGAGGGGGTTCAGAGGATTCTCTGGATCTTGAGGCAGGGCTAGGGATCTGGACTCTTGGGTCCTGGAGGAGGTGAGGGCTGAGGGCCTGAACTCCCAGATCACTGACGGGAGATGGAGGTGGAGTCTTAGATTCCCAAGCCCCTATGAGAGAACTAGGCAAGAACTAAGCTGGAGACTAGGCTCCTGGGTCCTGAGGGAGGAGGGGACGGTTTCACCATCTGTATTAATTTTCTAAGCCTGCCATAACAAAATATCACAACTGGATAACTTAAAACAATGGTTCTGGGAACTGAAAATCCAAAATCAAGTTTCACGACTCACTCTAAAGGCTCTGGGGAGGCTCTGTTCCATGCTTCTCTCCTAGCTTCTGGTGGCTGCCAGCAATCCTTGACATTCCTTTGCGTATAGCAACATCATTCCAATCTCTGCCTCCATCTTCACATGGCCACCTTTCCCCTGTGTGTCTGTGTTTCCGTGTCCAAATTTCTGTCTGCTTATAAAAACAGCAGTCATATTGGATTTAGGACTCACCCTTATTCAGTATGACTTCATCTTAACTTGATTACCTCTACAAAGACCCTATTTCCAAATTAGGTCACACTCACAGGTTCTGGGTGGACCCGACTTTTTTGGAGACACTATTTTACCCATTGGAGCCCTGGTGGCAAGGTGGTTAAAACACTCAGCTGCTAACCGAAAGGTTGGTATTTCAAACCTACCAGCCTCTCTGCAGGAGAAAGATGTGGCAGTCTGCTTCCGTAAAGATTACAGCCTTAGAAACCGTATGAGGCAGTTCTACTCTGTCTTATAGGGTCACTGTGAGTCAGAACCAACTTGACAGCAATGGGTTTTGGTTTTTTATTTTACCCATTACACTGCCGTATTCATTATGTGACCTTCAACAAACCACTCCTCACCAAGACTCAGTTTTTCTCTCTGTAAAATCAGCTGCTGTGAAGACGTAATAGCATAGGGCTCAAGAAAGAGGAACTCCTACAATGCCAATTATTCCCCCAGCTTCCCCCATTTGGAACCCCCTTCTGACAAAAGTAGGGTCTCTTGCCCTGAGATAGCTCTGGGTTTCTTCCTAGGTTTTCTGAATTTTGGGTGGGAGAGACCTTTCTTTTCTCTCAAACCTCCTCCTACTATACCCCAACCTTAAATAAGAATCACCTGGAGAACAATTAATACCTTAGCTATCAATTTACTTTAAATTAGTTTTTTTTAAATGATTAAGGTTAATATATAGTCATGGTTTAAAAAATTCGATTATTACCAAAGGATGTAAAGAGAGAAGTAACAACTTCCCTCTTCTCCCTTTTCCATTTTCCTTAAATATTCTTCTGAATCCTTACAAAAAATTTCCATGCATTCACACACATATATATCCTTATACACTTCATCTTCTTTTATGTATTTCTTTTGCTAAAGCAAAAATTCACATTCTATTTTGAAGCTTACACTTTTCACTTTGCAATCTCCCTTGAGATATTTCTATGTCACTATAGCTAGCTTAAGGAGCCCTTGTGGTGCAATGGTTAAGCGTCAGCTACTAATCAAAAGGTTGGCAGTTCAAACCCACCCAGCAGCTCTGTGGGAGAAAAGACCTGGTGATTTGCACGTGTAAAGATTAGGGCCTAGGAAACCCTATGGGCAGTTTACTCTGTCACATGGGGTTAGGCTCCTGGGTCCTGAGTCAAAAGTCAGCTTGATGGCATGTAACAACAACATAGCTAGCTCAATCTTTTTTTTTTTTTTTTAAATTTCTGCCATTGAATGGCTGGATTCTAGTTGATTTGGCCATTCCCCTCTTGGTGTATACTTAGGTTTGTTCCAATTTTTCACCGTGACAATCAGTGTGCAATGAGCACTCCGGTATGAGCTTCTTGTGCGCGTGTGTGTCCATCTAGGGTGGAGTGGTGGAACTGGTGGGTCATTGGTCATACTCTTTGTGTATCTTGATAGAAACTGACAGATTGCCTTCTTCAAAGGATTCCTATCAGGTGCAGTTTAGTGCCCATTTCACTGCATCATCACTCAAATGGAATATTAACCATTGTTTCAATTTTTGACAACCTGATTGGCAAAATACCTTACTGTTGTTTTATGTCCTTTTTTTTTTTTTATGATTACCGCTAAGATTGAGTAACTCTTTCCCTCAAATGTGTTTTGATTAATTGTGCTTCCTGTTTTTTGAATTGCCTATTCATTCCCTTTGCCTGTCTTTCTAATGGGTTGGTTCTAGGAGTATTTCTATATTCTTTTTTTATTGTTGTACTCTAAGTGAAAGTTTACAATTCAAGTTAGTCTCTCATACAAAAATTTATACATACATTGTTATGTGACCCCAATTGCTCTCCCTATACTGTGACAGCACACTCCTCCTTTCCACCCCTGATTTCCCATGTCCATTCAACCAGCTCCTGACCCTCTCTGCCTTCTCATCTCACCTCTGGACAGAAGCTGCCCATTTAGTCTCATGTATCTACTTGAGCTAAGAAGCACACTCTTTACGAGCATCATTTTATGTCCCATAGTCCAGTCTAATCTTTGTCTGAAGAGTTGGCCTCAGGAATTGTTTTAGTTCTGGGTTGACAGAGAATCCAGGGGCCATTAAATCTGGTCTTTTTACTAGAATTTGAGTTCTGCACCCCACTTTTCTCCTGCTCCATCAGGGACTGTCTGCTGTGTTCTGTTTCTATATTCTTAATCTATGTGGTTTATGAGTAAAGAATTTCTGCCAATGTGGTCAAATTTATTAATCTTATCCCTTATGAATTTTTCATTTGTATTTTAAAAAGAACTTCCCTATCCCAAGACAAATATATTTTCCTCTAATACTTCTGTAGCTTTTTTTTTTTTTTTGTATTTTATTTAATATTTAAGTCTTGAACTAATTTGAAATTTGTTTGGGAAATGGTGTGAGGTAGGGATCCAACATTATTATTTTTTCCCAAATAGAGAGCAAATTGTGTTAACTATTGAAATATGTTAAATATGTTGCTAATATTCGGGACTGCTATTTAAAATTACAGATTTCTGGGGCCCAACCCATAGTTTAATAACTAGGCAGTAAAGCTCAGGAGTTTGTATTTGTATTTTGTATCCTGCTCCTCTCATTTGCAGCTAGTATTGAGAAGCCCTGATTGTAGTTCAGCTCCACACCCATTTTACAAACAGTGAATTGAGGCTGAGAAAGAGGTAGTGATTGCCCAAGGTGAATTTCCTCCTTCCCACTTCCCCCTTCATCTCCTCGGGCTACCAGGAGCCCAAGGACCCAGGCATCCCCATCTGTCTTAGTCATCTAGTGCTGCTATAACAGAAATACCACAAGTGGATGGCTTTAACAAAGAGAAATTTATTTCTTCACAGTCAAGTAGGCTAAAAGTCCAAATTCAGGGTGTCAGCTCCAAGGGAAGGCTTTCTCTCTCTGTCAGCCTTCTCATCAATGTTCCCCAGGACTAGGAGCTTCTCTGTGCAGGGACCCTGGGTCCAAAGGACATGTTCTGCTCCTGGCACTGCTTTCTTTATGGTATTAGGTCCCCATGTCTCTCTGCTCACTTCTCTCTTATATCTCAAGGAATTGCCTCAGGACACAATCCAATCTTGTAGATTGAGTCCTGCCTTACTAACACAACTGCCACCCATCCTCCTCCCTCATTAACATCATAGAGGCAGGATTTACAACATATAGGAAAATCACACAATACCAGGAATCATGGCCCAGCCAAATTGATACATACATTTTTGGGACGACATAATTCAGTCCATGACACCATCTATTCAGTCCCCCCAGCCTCATACCCCAAGCCATGGCTGGGGGTTCAGCCAGGGGCAGTTGTGACTCCTGGGGTCAACGTGACCTTGAGGTGCCAAGCTCCCCAACCCTCCTGGAGGTTCGCACTCTTCAAGGCTGGAGAGATCACCCCAGTGCTGTTTCGGGATGTGGCTGCGGAGCTGGCAGAGTTCTTCCTGGAAGAGGTGACCCCAGCCCAGGGGGGCAGTTACCACTGTTGCTACAGGAGGCAAGGGTGGGGGCCGGAGGTCTGGTCCCCACCCAGTGATGCCCTGGAACTGCTGGTGACAGGTGAGGTCCAGGTGGTGGAGGCGGAGAGGAGAATGGGCACAAGGATGGTGTGATGAGGGAGAGAAGAGGGACAGAGAGATACAGGGAATGAGAGACTGAGGAAATACATACATGAATCTCTCTCTCTCTCTATATATATATAGAGAGAGATTGATTCACAGAAATAGACGCATGGGGAGAAGGGACAGAGAATACAGGGAGAGAGAGAAAGAGAGATACATACAGAGCTACAGATAGAGATTGATTAATTCACAGAAACCAGAGACAGGCATATGGGGAGGAGGGACAGAGAAATACAAGGAGAGAGGCAGAGAGAAGTATATAAATAGATAGATTCACAGAGACACATGGGGAGAAGGAGCAAAGAGATGGAGGGAGAGAGGAGGAAGAGAAAGGGAGAAGGGTAGGCTTATGCAACGACATAGAGAAAAAAAGCTAACAGAAGAGAGAGAGAAGTGTCCCTGAGTAGCACAATCAATTTGCACTGGGCTGCTAACTGAAAGTTGGTGTTTCAAACCCACCCAGTGGCACTGCAGAAGAAAGGCCTGCGATCAGCTTCCATAAAAATGACAGCCAAGAAAACCCTATGGAGCTCAGTTCTCCTGTATAATACATGGGGTTGCCATGAGTTGTAATCAACCTGATGGCAACAGAGAGAGAGAGGAAGTCTTAGAGAAACAGTGACGTCGAGACACACAGACACATACTATAGAAACAGTGGTTCTATATTGCTCCTCTAGGTGGCCCAGTGGTGAGTCTTCCCCCATAGGTGACATTTAAGGAGTTCTGGCAGCACAGTGGTTAAGCGCGCAGCTCAGTTTGAACCCATCAGCCACTCCTATGATGAAAGACATGGCGATCTGCTTCCGTAAAGATTACAGCCTTGGAAACTCTATGGGGCAGTTCTACTCTGTCCTGTAGGGTTGCTGTGAGTCAGAATGGACTCGACAGTAGAGGCTTAGATGACATTTGGCAATGCTTGGAAACATTTTTGGTTGTCACAGCTTGGGGGAGGGTGTGCTACTGGCATCTAGCGGTAGAGACCAGGGATGCTGCTAAACATCCTATGATGCATGTGACGCCTCCCTCTCCCCAACAGAGAACTATCCAGCTCCAAATGTCAATAGTATCGAGGTTGAGAAACTGGGAGAAACACAGAAACACAATGAGAAAGACTCAGAAAGACATAGGCATCTGAAACCCTGGGGGAGAGAGACTTGCACAGAGAAACAGACACAGAGACAGAATTTAGAGAAGCACAGACGCGGAGGGGAAAGGGACATGCAAGGAGAGAGACAGAGACATCAGAAAGGCACGCTTGGAGACAAAGAGACGGGGAGAGATGGGGATCCAGACGCACAAAGGCAGAGATAGACCTGGAGATGGAGACACTGAGGGAGACTCAGAGAAGGTGAGAGACAGATAGACGGAGAAACTGGCTGCGACAAAAGAGGAGACAGAGAGAGAGAGAGAGAAGGAGAAATGGAACAAGGAGGAGGAGGGTAAGACAGATGAGCGGAGGATGCAGGAGGAGGAGGGAGAAGAGGAGAGGGGGGATGAAGGAGAGGGGAGAGGGAGGCGAGGAGGGAGAGGGAGGAGGGAGAGGGAGAAAGAAGAATGAGGAGGGAAAGGGAGGAGGGAGAGGGGAACAAGGAACAGAGCAGGAAAAACCCCAGGACTCGGCGCCCACCCGCGCTCAGTAGCCCCCACGCTCCATGCAGACGTGCTGCCTCCGCCGTCGCTGATGGCGCTGCCCGGGCCGGTGGTGGCGCGCGGCGCGAACGTGAGCCTGCGTTGCGCTGGCCTCATAGGCGGCATGAGCTTCGCGCTGTACCGCGTGGGCGAGGCGGCTCCGCTGCAGTATCGCAACTCCGCGCGGCCCTGGGCTGACTTCCCACTGCCCGCCGCCCGCGCCCCCGGCACCTACAGCTGCTACTACCATACGCCCTCGGCGCCCTATGTGCTGTCGCAGCGCAGCCAGCCGCTGGTCGTCAGCTGGGACGGTGAGGCCCCGCGGACCTGCACCCAGCCCCTCCCCTCAAACCCGGGAGTCCTGGTATCCAGCCTCCCTTAGACCCAGGAGTCTGGGCCCCACCCCTTACTGCCTCAGACCAAGAAGTCTAACGCCCTCTCTTTTATCCTCCGCCCCACCCAAATTTTGAGACTGGGGGGTTACGTCCCTAGCTCCACCCTTGGGGTTAGAAACCTAGAGGGTGGGACGGGGACTGCGGGATCCACTCGCTGACGGTCTCTCGCCCTCCGCTTGGCCCGCAGGCTCTTTACCCTCGGACTATACCCGTGGTAACCTCGTCCGCCTGGGGCTGGCCAGCCTGGTCCTGATCTGCCTGGGCGCGTTGGTGGCTTTTGACTGTCGCAGCCAGAGCTACGCTCCTGGTGTCCTCCTCTCCTGAGCCCCAGAGGAACTGGATAAAGACTGGCAACATGAGAAGACTTGCTGGAGAGGGACGGAGGAGAAGCTTGGATCCCTGGGGTTGGACTGACAATTCTTGGAGCCCCACAGCCTGTGAGCCTCATCCCTTCCGGCTGACCCCAATTTATAATAACCAGCCTTCACCTGTGCCCCCAGCTCTGTAGCTTCCTTGTGGGTCATTTCTCCACCATCTCACAGCTGAGCCAGAAGTGATAAACCAAAAAAAACCAGACATGTTGCAATCGCGTCAATTCCAACATAGTGACCCTATAAGTAGAATTGCCCATAGGGTTTCCAAGGCTGCAATCTTTATGGGAGTAGACTGCCACTGCCATATATCCTCCCCCCCC